TGTGTGTGTGTTTGTTTGTTTGTTTGTTTGTTTGTTTGTTTGTTTGTTTGTTTGTCTGTTGTACTCCTTCCCAGAGTAGGTGATCATTAAGTCTAGTTGCTAACAAGGGAAGGTCTCCAGAGAAATATGTTCAGAATTCAATGCTTGACTGTGTGCATGCATAGGTAATTGATAATTTGCTGTCACGTTGTTTCTGACTTAAGGTGATCCTTTCCAGGGGTTCCCTAGATATAGAGTGCTGAGATGTGGTTCCCTGTTCCTTTCTTCCAGAGGCACTCTGAGACTATATAGCTTGCTCAAGGCTACACAGACTGTGAGGCACACTGAGGATCGAAGTTCAGGTTTCACAGCTAGATACTCCAACTCACTGATCCATCCAACCATTCCATATGTGCGTACATCATCATAATAATGTATGCTGTCAAGTCAGGTCTGACTTATGGCAAACCTTTTAAGTTTTCTTGGTAGAGAGTACTCGGGTTTACTATTCCCTTCTCCTGGGTGTGCCCTGGGATTGTGTAGCTTGCCCAAGGCCACACAGGCCGGGTCTTCTCCTGGGATGCACAGTGAAGAATTGACCCCCCAACCTCTGGCTCTGCTCACTGAGCTGTCCAGCCCTCTCTCCCTCTCTCTCTCTCTCTCTCTCTGTGTGTGTGTGTGTGTGTGTGTGTGTGTGTGTGTGTGTGTGTGTGTGTGTGTGTGTGTGTGTGTAATTGATTTGATATTCAAGTGATTCACAAATATGTGCATGTATGAACTGGTGTTCTCATGTATCCAAAGATTGTAAAAGTTACTTTTGTGCTACAGTGCTCAGAATCTCTTGGCTAGTGTTACTCAGAGTTGGGAAAACTACAGTCGGGGTCAAAATGCACAAAAATTCCCCAGTTAGTGTGGTTACTGCTGTGCTGGTTAGTGGATTCTTGAAGCTCTTGTAACTTTTCAGGTTCTGGGTACAGTGGACCCTCGACATACAGACGGCTCGACTTACAGACTTTTCGAGTTACAGACTTCTCTGGCCACAAAATTTAGGTTCAACATGCAGCCGGAAAATCGACATATAGACCAGAAAAGACCCAAAATGGAACAAAAATAGAATAAAAACCGCTGGTTATGGGATTAATCAGTTTTCAATGCATTGTAGGTCAATTGAGATTCGACCTACAGACTTTTCGACTTGCAGCCACCATTCCAATACGGACTAATTCCTTAAGTAGAGGGTCCACTGTATTCAAGGGGTGAGACTGCAAGAGGTAATAGCAGAAGTAATCTACTGAAAACACAGCTTAAGTATATTCTAGCTCCTTTCAAACTTGAATGATAACCTTGCACTACCAGTAAACGTTGTCAACCCCTTTGGCAGGAAAATCACGACGAGGCCTCCGTCTTCCTCATTAAAGAACAAACTGAACTGATAGTTTCCTTCTACTGAATATAATAAGGAAACAAATCTGAACTTCCTGGGTTCTCTTCCTTCTTCTTGCTGATGAGTCGGCCAGGAAAAAGTTGAATGCAGTTTTCTAGCTAAACTTGCCACACACCCTGATTTCTTAGTATCTGAAGTATTTTATAATTGTTGCTGGGTGGGGCTGACAGGTCCAAACATGGGTGTACTTGGTGACCCGGCCACCGTGACATAAGAATCCAGCAGTAAGACAGATCCTTGATATTAGCTCAAGATAGTTTAGCCGCTGGCCCAAGTTAGCCTTATGGTAGGGACAGATATCTCTTTAGTTGAAAGGTATGCTGTCAGTTTTGAATCAGCTTGCACGTGGCATACACAGGTCCATGCTTCATGGAGCAAACATGCCTACTGAGTAGCCAGCCAGCATTTCTCTGCAGCACATGTATAGATGGCAGATAATATAGGCCTCTGTCTGTGCATCAGGGATGGGGATTCGAATCACGGGAGTCGCTGTCAAGTTGGACTTAAGTCACACTGGTGGCTCAACTCCGATTTGATTCGGGTTTTTTTCTCCCAATGACGTGGACTCAGCTTGTGACCTGAAACCCACCCCTCCCCCTTTTTTTTCTGAGGATAAAAGCTTGTTTGTAATACAGACTCAGACCTCAAACTTGGGAGCAAAGATTTGCCAACATCCCTGCTGCACATAGAAGAATCTAGACGGGGCCGCAGTTCCAAGATGTGAGTGTTTAAGGATGCCAGTATCCATTGTCCACACAGAACTGCTGGTGCACAAACAAAAAAAGTTACCAAACATTTTTCTATGTAGGTCTGCTCACATTCATGCTAGTATCTAACCATACACATTTAGGATTAGATGGCCAGATTCAGAAGTGGGGCTGATGGAACGAACAGAGTTTCTTTACCCTTAAGATGTATGCAGAACATTTGAAAATCCCCTCCCCCTGCTTTTAATGGCACAGGAGCACTTTCCTTTAATTAAATTGTGAACCACCCACGGAGTGCTTTAAACACTACAGGTTAATATGTAAGCAGCACACTTTGCTTCTGCCTTTATATGCAAATTGACCTCATGTTGATTTTAATAGGAGTGTTTCCTCATTACTGACAGGTTCTTGTGACAATCCAGCTACTGTTTTCCCCGATTGCTACATCTCCATAAAAAGCATAATAATAATAATTTGAAAAGTCTGGGACATCTTGTACAGAGCTAAATAAAGTGTTCATGCAGATGTACATAGTTTTATCCTCATTATGATTGTTTTTCTTATTCATGATAGAAGGAGCTGAACCTGTTGAATTTCGTTCATAGATTAAAAAGCCCAAGAGCATCTCTCAGGAAAGAAGGTGGCAAAATGATGTCACTACCACCAGCTACACACTGTTGAAATATCGGCTTTCTTTATAAATGATTAAGAAAAAATGACCTACTTGGAAATATTGCAGGGTGATTGAAGTATATTATGAGACAATTAGCCCATATCTAGTCATCTAGTAGATGCTCATAGTTAAAAAAAATCCTCATCATTTTGTGCACACTACTTAGCTGGAATTGATTCACAACAATGCAGGGTGGAGACTGCCAGTAGGAGAAGGAAGGACAATGCACACAAACCCTCTTTTTCACCCTGTGGGGTTGCCAAGTTTTGAACCGGTTGCTGTAGCTTTAATAGTACAAAATGTGAACGCTGGTTCTTGATAGTGCTACGCTGCAGAAGGCACTACCTGTCTAATCAACAGGAGGCTCGAAAGAGCTTCCAGGGGGGAAACAGAAAGAAGACCTGGCTGTCATATCTCCACTCCTGCTCTTAGAAAAAAATGTACAAAGGAGGGGAAGAAAATTCAAAGAAATATAACTCACTCAGTTCTCCTTTCTTCTGCTGAGAATGGGTAGCGTAGGTTCCTCTTAAGGATCATTTGGATTAAAAAAGTGGCTGTAAAGTTTTTGTAAGTTATTTCCAGTCCATGGGTCAGAGCACTGGGTTAAAAAAACAAACTTTGCCACATCACTCACTCCCCCACCAGAACGACTTCCTTGAACACCTACAGAAGTCCCACTTCTCTGACCAGGATATATGGCTACTATGACATCACTAGGAAGTGAACCAACTGCAGCCGTTTTTTTTTCTTGCCAAGGGAGATAGCATTCATTACATTCCGTGCCTAGCAACCTGTTGGCATTCAGGATTTAGGAGCAAATGGCTGTTTTAAGCCTTTCTGTTTGTTTCCATTCTTATTGACCTAGCAGCCTGACCACAAAGTGTGTGGCGAAGGTTATATGGTTGAACAAAGACTCAGGAGACCTGGGTTCAAATCCCCACTCAGATGTGAAAGTCGTTGGGTGACTTTAGGCCAGTCATTTTTTCTAGCCGAATTTATCTAACAGGGTTGTTTTGAGGATATAATGGCGAAGAGGAGACCTGTGTTTGTTGCCTTTGGTTCATTAGTTGAAAAGTGCATCATAAATTGAATGAATGAATAAATAAATAAAGTGCCGGGAGACCTGGGTTCAAATCCCCACTCAGATGTGAAAGTCGTTGGGTGACTTTAGGCCAGTCATTTTTTCTAGCCGAATTTATCTAACAGGGTTGTTTTGAGGATATAATGGCGAAGAGGAGACCTGTGTTTGTTGCCTTTGGTTCATTAGTTGAAAAGTGCATCATAAATTGAATGAATGAATGAATGAATAAAGTGCCAACTTGGTATGGTAAGGCAGTTAAGAGTTCAGGGTGCGAATGTGAACGGCCACCCCCAAGGATGGAAAACCTTTAGGTGTCTAGATGTTTTGGGTCCTGTTTCCATTACCCTCATTCAGCATTTCGAGTTTTAAGAGATTGTGGGAGTTATAGTCCAGAACATTTGGAAAGCCAGGAGTGGATCTGGATCAGCAGTGGAAAACCTTTGGCCTTCCAACAGTTTTTGCCTACAGCTCCCAGAACCCCTTGTTAGTGTATGGGGCCAGCGATCAAGGACTGGGGAAACCTGATCTAAAACAACTGTAGAGGTAAAGGTTCATTTAAGGCTGTTAGCAGAACTGTGTCAGTGGGAGTGATGTGTCAGTCCCCTGAGGCTGACGATCACTCTTCAACACCCAAGAAAGATCCTCAACAGTAGGAGCAAGAGGAGTCGTACTTCCCTGGGCCTTCTTGATAGTAGTTTATGCTGCTGCTTCTGTGCTGAGGCAGTTATACGGCCCAGTGCGTTGAATTTATAGCATGCTCCAAAAGCTAAAGCAAATGGTGGCATCGAAAGATTGAAATGAAGATTCCTGGGGGAATGGTCTGATGGAGGTTTCCTTGGGTGCTAGTCTTGACCATAAACTTTCTAAACAAGCGGTTTTAGGGAAGCCACTCCTGCAACTTGGCCAAGTACCGGGCAGATTAAGCGTCCATTTCAATAAGCCAATTTCAAGAGATGTGGAAGGGCAAGTCATTTTTTATTTTATTTTATTCTTATGTCTTCACTTTTAATGAATGGTGCTTGTGGGTTTTTTGTGTTGGTGCAGAATTCCTTTGTGTGAATATAGAGAGAACAGAAAATGAAAAAGAACCACACTGTTTGAATGGAACTTGTACTTCTCTACAATGTAATAGCTGCAAACTGTTTGAAAAAAAAAACCCACCTTTTAAAAAATGATTCTGCTCATATCGTCAGCAACATGCAGCTAGACCAACATTTTGCAAAGGAAGCATTGCTCGATATAGAGATGAATGTGAAAGCAGAAGCTTTTTCTGTGAAAGGTGCTCTAGCTGGAAAATGTTGGCACTCATTCTGTAATAATTTATTTACTAAACAATTTATTATTTACTTAAAATAGCTTTAGCCCGACTTTCTCCTAAAAAAGGACACAAGGCAGCTTACATTACTGAAAATGTATACATTATTTTAAAAGACAATATTGAAAGCTATAAATAGTAAGTTGTTTGTACATTAAAGACCCCAGGGGACCGGACCCTTGTTACGTCCAGCTATGCGGGGGTATTCCTATCCACGTCAGAGTGGATGTGAGCAGTTTTGCCTGCAAAGTGTCATGCAAATTCTTCACAGCAAGCTACAGTGTGGTTTGCATTGTCTTCAGCGAGCCAGCATGCAGTAGGCCCTTGACCACTTGAAAGATCTTTGCTGGGTGACTGTGTGCACACAAAGGTGGCAGAGAAGAATGATTTCTTCATCACTGCCATGGAATAGGCCTTCCAATGGGCCCTAGCCCATGTTCAGTCAGATTCACTCTGGTTTTCGGTCATAATTCCTCTCGTCTCCATCCCACTGGTTTCATCATTACTAGCTTCCTGGTAAACCATGGAGCCATTTTGTGAAGGGGGATACTTATGGAACAATCATGTCAAAAGCCTTGGCCATTTCCCCATCCCAGAGGTCAATGCATGGCTTTAACAGGATTGCCTGCTGAGGTGACAGGAAACTTCCCACAAGCTGTCAGGAAACCATTTGGATCCATTAGCTTTCTGGGGCAGACCATCTTAGTTGGTCCCCCACCCATGCAGGGGCTCTGAATTCCAGTGAGTCTAAGCCATGACAACAGAACTCCAGAGAGTTCCCCCAGACCTAGATCATCAACATCTACCGCACCACAGAAAACCACGTCTAAAGTGTGCCCTGCAGCATGGGTCGGGGCAGATGCCACCTGAGGCGGACCCATTGTCCTGAGCCACTCCTGACACAGCTGGCTCAGCATGGATGTTGACATCCCTTAGTGCAACAAGCCTAGAGTGAGATTAACACCTCCAGTCTCATCCTGTCAAACCTCTGTAATGCAAGCCAGGTCAATACACTCATGCAGGCTCATGTCCTGGATGGCTGCTGTTTTCTCATTTCCCAACTTGGTATTTAGCAGCAGCACTATCAACCCTGGGAAGCCTGCCACTGAGGCTATCTAAATTATTATTTTCCTTAAATGACCATATATTTGCATTTTTTTCCTTTTCTGCTCTGGCCAGAGAGAGGAAGTGGTCGTGTCCATCAGCAGCCAGCTGGAGTCAGGCCCTTGTAGAGACTTGATATTTTAAAGATAGTATTTGTTTAACTGCAGAATATCTCCCTTGACACCTGGCTATCCCCAGCCAGTTCCCTGACGAGCTCCTGATGAACTAATTAGAAAGGCAAACCACATTATGTAATTAATGGAATGATTTAGTCAGCTGTTTCCTTGTTAGACATGTTGCAGCACATATTTTGCCATCTTGGTTTGAATTTCACTTGAAGAGCTAGAAAAGAGGAGAAAAATATAAAAGGTTTTTCAGGTCTGTCTGTATAATGTTTTAAAACTGGGGAAGTGAAGAGATGGCAGGGATCCTTATAAAATGAGCAGAATAACAGAACACGTTCTGCTGTTTCTACCAGGCCTGAGTGTCAGGAACAGTCATTGCTCCTAAGGAATATGGAAGTGCTTCCCCTCTTTGAAAAAAGGGCAGATGGCAAAGCATTGAAACAGGCCAGGGTAAAAATTATCCAATAGCTAACAAGATCTAATTTTAAAGATAGTCTTGCTGTGATTCCTGGCTTCCGAATAGCGAACGCTGTTTGGTGTGTCAAGTTGGGAGGCTATATCCCAGATCCATTGCCTAATAATCTATTTAGCTTTTGAGAGTTCAAGATGTAACTGATCATACTTAGGACAACAGTTTTTCCTCCACAGCTTTGGCCCAGGCTGAGGAATTGTTGTCTATTAAAAATCAAAGATGCTAAATCAAAAGGATTAATATTTAACTTGAGCTGGAGACGACTGATTATTTGAAGGCAAACATACTCTGGTTTCTCTTCATATAATCCTGTCGCCTCCAAGAAGAGCGAGGCAGCGTGAACACTTCTTTCCCTAGCTTCTGTTTTTATTGATTTTATTTTATATGTATATTTTATTTATATTATTAATGTGCCGCCTTTCTCCCCACAGGGGACTTAAGGCTGCTCACAACAGTTAAAGCCATAGAATAATAAGTTAAAATACTGTTGTGACGTGCCATCAAGTCGCCTCCAACTCATGGAGACCCTATGAATGAGCACTCGCCAAAATATCCTCTCCTCATCTGCCCTGCTCAGGTCTTGTAGAATGCTGTGGGGTTTTTTTTAGAGAGTCAGACCATCTCATATTTGGTCTTCCTCTTTACCTGTTATCTCCCACACAGCATTATTGTCTTTTCCAGAGAATCTTGTCTTCTTATGATGTGCCCAAAGTAGGACGGTCTCAGCTTCAATATTTTTGCCTCCAGAGATAGTTAAGTTTTGAATTTATTTAGGATACACTTATTTATCTTTCTGTCAGTCTTGGGCAGGCTTGTCCAACCTGCGGCCCGAGGGCTGCATGCGGCCCAGGTTGGCTCATAATACGGCCCAGTGCAATTTTTTAAAAAAGAAATTAAGGAAGGAAGGAGTGGGAGGAGAGGGGAGAGGGGGGCTGTGTGACTGCATTGTGCTGTCCCCGTCAATAGGTGGACCCCCTCCCGGCCCCATAAAGCCACTGGAGTCGAAGCTGGCAGCCTCTGCTGAGATCACAGCTGCCGGTAAGCGCGCTTGGAGCGGGCCTGCGGAGGATGGCTAGGGCTGCCCCCCCATGTGGTCCAAACCAAATTTATGTGCGGCCCAAACCAAATTTTCATCTTCTAATGTGGCCCAGGGAAGGTGAAAGGTTGGACACCCCTGGTCTAGGGTTTCTGCAAAGCTCTTCACCAGCACTGTATTTCAAATGAATCAATTTTTTCCCTGTCAGTTTCCTTTACTGTCCAGCTTTCACACCCATACATGGTGATTGGAAATACAAGAGTATGGATGGTCTTGGTCTCCAGTGACACATCCTTACATTTGATGATATTTTATAGTTCCTTCATTGTTACCCTTCCTAGTCTCAGTCTTCTGATTTCTTGGTTGCAGTCTCCATTTGGATTGATGATTGAACCAAGATATACAAACGCTCTGACTATTTCAGTTTATTTGTTGTGGATGTCAACATTTTGTAGTTCTTCTGTAGTAATGATTTTTGTCTTCTTAACATTCAACTGCTGTCCTGCTTTGGCACTTTCTTCTTTCCCTTTCCCTAAAAGGCCTTGCAAAGCATTGCTTTTTTCTGCCAGTAAGGTGGTGTCATCTGCGTATCTTATATTACTGATGATTTTTCCACCAATTTTCACTCCTCTATCTGAATCCAGTCCGATATGATATGGTCTGCGTGCATATTGAAGGGATAGGGGAATAAAATGCACCCTTGTCTGACATTTTTGCCTATAGAAAACCATTTTGCCTGTCCATATTTTGTCCTAACAGTAGCTTCATGTCCACAAAGCACACCGCACATCAGGACAATCAAACTACAGTATATACAATTAAAACATTGTTCAAGATTATATCTTTATTATTACCTAACTATTAGAAGCTGACTTGATAGGTCAGTAAGTGGTACCACCCGGCTATGGAGTTTGATTCCTTGTAGGAAAAAAGCTAGCCTAGGTAGTCTTAGGCAAGTTGTATGGTCTCAAATCACACCCAGAAGAAGGATATGATGAATTACTTCTGAGTGCTATAGCTAGAAAACTCCAGGAAGGATTGGTGTTAGTCCAAATTGACTTGACAGCATGGAACTATTATTAAAATATGACGTAACCAGGTTTGGTTTGAGTGGAGGACACAGGTTTGTGTACTTTATTCCAAGAGTCTCTCTTATTAAATATGTGCATTGTTTTGCAAAAGCTAGGGACTGTACTCCATTCCTCCCTGACACAAACAGCAACCATCAGCATAACCAGGGTTTAGCGTACAGAGGCTGCTGTGCCATTTCTCAGATTGAATCAGTTACCTCAGGCAGCAGATGTTGAGTGGTGGTATGACTGGAGAGAGGGACCGTTCCTGTGGTTAATTCTGTTGGAGGAGAATTTCTCTCCATTGAAGGAGAAAGTGGATCCCTGAAGAAACTCAACAGTGGAGAAAAAAGTCAACCTTTTCAATCTCTCAGATTATTTGTCCTGTGAAATTAGTTGCTAATCTCTCAAACGGAGTTGACTGGCCTACTGTAGTGCAGTGGCCCCCAACCTTGGGCCTCCAGATGTTCTTAGACTACCACTCCCAGAAGCCTTCACCACAACCTCTGCTGGCCAGGATTTCTGGGAGTTGAAGTTCAAGAACATCTGGAGGCCCAAGGTTGGAGACCATTGCTGTAGTGCCTTTAAGGAGTCTAAGCCTTAAAAGAAAGCAGGTGAAACATTTTTACAGTTGTTGAGACAAAAAAAAAAGGACCACCTGCTAATCACACTGAGCCTTGAAGGCATGGATACAATGGCCGATTGCAAAACTGGCAACCTTCCACTCAAAGGAGTTTGATAATTGGATGCAATACAGAGGAAAAGTTGCCTGTTATCACTGAAGGAGTTTTAGGAGGTATAGTTTGTCTGCGCTGACAATATTATGCCATATCTTTCCCAT